GGGGCCTAATGTGGTGCGGCCTGACGTGATGCGGCCTGACGTGACAGGGCCTGACGAGACAGGGCCTGATGCGACAGAACCTGATTTGATGGGGCCGGATGTGAAGGGGCCGGATGTGACGGGGCCTAATGTGGTGCGGCCTGACGTGATGCGGCCTGACATGACAGGGCCTGATGTGACAGACCCTGATGTGACGGGGCCTGATGTGACGGGGCCGAATGTGAAGGGGCCGGATGTGACAGGACCTGACATGATGCAGCCTGACGTGACAGGGCCGGATGTGACAGAACCTGATTTGATGGGGCCGGATGTGAAGGGGCCGGATGTGACGGGGCCTAATGTGGTGCGGCCTGACGTGATGCGGCCTGACATGACAGGGCCTGATGTGACAGACCCTGATGTGACGGGGCCTGATGTGACGGGGCCGAATGTGAAGGGGCCGGATGTGACAGGACCTGACATGATGCAGCCTGACGTGACAGGGCCGGATGTGACGGGGCCTAATGTGGTGCGGCCTGACGTGATGCGGCCTGACATGACAGGGCCTGATGTGACAGACCCTGATGTGACGGGGCCTGATGTGACGGGGCCGAATGTGAAGGGGCCGGATGTGACAGGACCTGACGTGATGTGGCCTGACGTGACAGGGCCTGATATGACGGGGTCGGATGTGAAGGGGCCAGATGTAAAGGGGCCGGACGTAACAGGACCTGACGTGATGCAGCCTGACGTGACAGGGCCTGATGTGATGCGGCCTGACGTGAATGGGCCTGACGTGACAGGGCCTGATGTGACGGGGCTGGATGTGAAGGGGCCGGATGTAACAGGACCTGATGTAACAGGACCTGATGTGATGCGGCCTGACCTGACAGGGCCTGACACAGCCTGAATTTTCTAAAGTTTTTTTTAATAATCTGAGAACCTAATAAATATTCCTTTAGTGAAACACACACAGAAATGATCCATCTAGTCAGTTTTAGACATTTTGGATTATATGACTTTTATTCATTGTAATCCAGGACAAATAATAGATGTTTCTAGTAGAATGTCATTTGTATCAGGAGGTAAGACATACAAATGAGTTGAACACAGGGTGTTACCTCCTAATATGCATATCCTGTGTGCAACTCAGCTGTAACTGTGTTATCTCCCAATATAAATTCCCTGTGTCTGGCTGTGTTAGCTCCTGATGCTATATCTCACTCACCTTCAGCCGCACTCTCTCCACAGCAGCTGGACTCGCAATGGGCTCGTAACAGGGACACTTCCCTCTCCAGGACCTCAATCCGGCTGATAAGTTGCTGGATGGTGTTGGCTGCTGGACACGCACAGGCCTGCTTGGGGATGTTGATACGATGTGTGAAGGTCACCTGGCTGTCTACGTCGGCCGTCTGAACTACATAGTCAGTTGGTGGCACATCTGTCTCTGCTTTAGCCTCTGGGCCGGGGGCAGAGTCCAGGTCCACAGAGCACAAGGATTCCAGTGGGACATTGATGTTGTAAATGTGGTTGAAGACAAAAGGCTGCTCCCTCATGGTGTCATTGCTCACGGGAGTGTCCGCTTCAGAGGCCTGCCGCCTCATTCTGGTCGTCCTCACCAGCTGCCCCCCATATGCTGGTCCACAGAGCACAGGAGTCTCAGCCAGCAACATCACCAGGAGAGGGAGCCAAAAGCACTTCTGCGTCATGGTGATGGTGGAGATCAAGTGAGCAACCTTCCCAACAGTTCTGATCAGAAGTGTTTTATTTTTTCATGGAAAAACAAGAAGAAAAATAATGTTCAATTCAAAATTAATGTTCAATTAATGTAAATGCAATTTTTATTATATGTCCATGCAACATGGTTATGTAACAGTTATACCAAATACCTTCGTTTTAAATAAATTTTATGGATTATTGTAGGCATGAAAAGCAAGACAGATTTTGCAGTGATAATCTCCTATAAAGTCTGCCTTCCTCTTATACTTAGATTTTAATTATTCTCAGCAATCAGATTTATATTTTCTGGCTGCAGCATGAAGATCTGTGGAATACTTTGCTGTCGTTCCAACAGCATATTTTTTAGTTTCAGGTTTAGTTTCTTACAAGCCTTTTCAAATACATTCAATTCTGTGCAAAGATAATGTAGTAACTGTAGTACTCAATGCATTCATTATGATTTGAGCCATATCCACAGCCCCTTGTATTGTTATGAACGTCCTATTACCGTCTAGCATGGCAGCTCAATATATGTGCCCTGTCAACAGTGATTGCAGCTTTCACATACTTTATGGTGCTGCTTGATGGAAATCTCAGCCTGCATGTCAAATTAAACTGAAATAATAGCTGATTGTTTATAGTTTGAACAATCAGTCAACTGGAATTAAACCACAGGTAATACTAGCAAATTGGATTTGCAGGAAAGTAATACACTGAGAAATTTAAAGACACCAATTAATCTAAACTGAATATTTTGGAGTCTCAAGAGGGATCCCACATAAGCATACAATTAATGAAATTATTCCACAGATTAATTTTAAGGATGGTAACATGCCTGAAAAATGGAAAGTAATAGAAATAGATTTCAACATGAAATAAATAATATGTCCCTTCACTCAAATATTATTTTTTGGTGTGTGTCAGATTTCTTCTGATTGTAGCATTTCTGTGTAAGGTAGAGGAAAAGGTGGCGTGGGGATAAAGGCTAGCAGCTTAGATAAATGCCTCAATATATTTTCTATGATGAACAAAAGAGAATATGAAAGCTTATCATTATGAAATTGGTCAACTGCCTAATCATGATTGACAACTGCTTATAAACACTAATCTAATATTTAGTTGAGATTTAAGTGTTTCTGAATTGTCTTGCCTACCAAATTTCCTAGTGGGTCATCAACTCCCTACAGCAAAGCACATCATTATGCTGTAAAACCCTGAGTATCCGCCAGCGTCTGTTATACCTCCAGAACACTGGAAACCCTGAGTATCAGCCAGCGCCTGTCATACATCCAGAACACTGGAAACCCTGAGTATCCACAGGTGTCTGTCGAACATCC